TTCAAGGACTAATTCTAAAACTAGAGATTTCCATGACTACTTCTTCCTCTGAGTTTCAGTTTTGCTAATCTCTCCACCACTCCTTTGTTTCCTTTCACTGGTGTACATTGCAGTGCACATGCACATGTATTTTAGATAAAAGTAAGTGTAGCAGATATTGATCCTGAAGTCTTAACATTAAACCTAGATGATTAGTAGTATATTTAAGGTACTATTCTACACAATTTGTATTAAATTAATGTGACAGAATTGTAATTGAAATAATGCAATTTAAGGAAAAACTTAAATTCAGCTGAGATTTAACTATGCCCTGACTTCCTACAGCCAACTTCATGAAAGAATTCTGCTCCTAGCAGCTCCTATGTTAGAAGCTGTCCCATGATCCTGCTTGGTTTTCTTTTTGTTTTGTTTTATTTTGTGGATTTTTTTTTTTTGGTTCATAGATTTTATTACCAAAAGATTGACTTCTCCTTCTGAAAACTCAGTTTTTAAGATTTCATTTCCCAAGCAAATGAGAACGATTTTTAACAAAGAACCTTTCTGAGAATGGTGAAGTTGATCCTATGGATGTGTTACAAAAGAAGCTTTCAAGTTGCCAACGTCCCTTAGCTAAATGTTCCTCTAAACTGAGGGCTTAACGTCAGTGAACCCTATGCAGTCCAGACAACTGAAATGAAGTAGAGAAAATAGCAATAGACAAAGTCATCTGACGTACTTGTTCCATATGTCTCAGAGCTATAAATAGAAAACTCCAGATGGACTTTTCAGAACACCCTGGAATATCACTGCTCCCTATATTATGTTATAATCATTACTGTCACCAGCCTCTCTCTCTCTCTTTCTCTATATCTCTCTCTTTCTCTCTCCCTTCTTCCCTCCCTACCACTGTACTTCCTTCCTTCCTCTTCCATCTCTCTCCCTCTGAAGTAAATTCGAATATGTAACACTCATAGATGTTAAAAGCAGAGCAATGCGCTTTGTGATTTTTCTGGCATTGATTCACACCACCAGCCAGTCATTCCTTCTCTTCAAACTTAATGAAATCATAATGATTCATAGGCTTTGGTTGGAATGGCTATGTGACACACTGTTGTAGAAGCAATAAGGCTATTGTATTACTCAAATAAATGGGTTTAAGAAAAATAGAATAGCTGTACCCTCAACTAAACCTACTATGCCAGAGAATCATACCATATTTTACTCATACTTGACACAAGGAAAATTAAGCCAAGATAAATTCATATGGTAGAGCTTTAGAACTAACAGGCTGTTTGTCCCTGGAGGGGAACAAGAAGAATTTAGAAGGCAATTTGTCACAGGTGTTTTAGATAAGAGGCAAGACTCTAATCCGCACTTCTCCAAATTCCATGAAACCAAGATTCTCACAGAGATTCTAAAATGACTGGGAAGAATAATACAAAAGGATGAGGATTTTGAGTAAAATAATTTAATTTTCAGGAGTCAGCACAAGAGAAAATGACCTCTCCAAGGATCAAAACGCGAAAAACAAATGTTGTCCAGGGCCAAAATGAAGCACAGAATTATATTGAGAGATAAAATAAAACGTAGAAATTTAATTCAGCCTCTTCATTGAGCAGATAAGAAAATCAAGCATTAAAAGTCAATGATCCTTCTGAAACCATCCAAGAGAATAGAGTTGGACCCAAAAACTACAAGTCCCAATTCATTCCATCCTATTATGCAAAGGATGTTTCTCTGCCATATTGATAAATTTCTCCAAATAATACAAATGGTGGTACAGTTGTAAAAATTTAATGATTGCTGAGTTTTATTTTATAAAAGTTGTATCCTTCTTTGTACTTAATTATAAGTACAGTAAAATAGATGAGTTTACCTTCTCATCAAGTCATTCCATGTTTTTCCTTTTAAAACCTTTCTGATAACATGTAATAATTATATACATTTATGTGATATTTCCACCCTATTACTTATTTGGAAATCCTTTTTGAAAATGAAAATTCCTTCATCACGCCATTTTTTGTCATTCACTGCAAAATGAGACAGAGAAACAGTTATCTTTTTTTTAATTTTAAAAGTTAAAAACACTAACAAAATAACAATGAAAACAAGATCAAAACAACACAAAAACAATACATGACCTCAAAACAAAATGATAGGAATTAACAATGTTTGCTACATTACATACTGTTATCTTCAACAAAGTTGCTCAGTCCACCAGACATAAGAATGTAAGATTGATCAAGCAATCAAAGACAGTAGCAAGCAATAAAATAATAACATTGGAAATGATGCAGAGCTTCACCATACAAGATGGTAGAAGACGTGCTTAAATCTGGTAATCAGAATGACTGATCTGAAAACAATAATATGCAGTGTATGTTATCTTCACTCTATGAAGATGGTGCCACCAACACAAGGGGTCATATTTCCAGTTTCTTTCTAAGGACACTGAAACACAAAACTAATTTTCCATCCCACTTCCCCCCTTGATTACTAGTTGGCAGAAAAGAAACATGCCAAGTTTCTTGTATCACCCAAGAACATCTCTGAGCAGAGAACAAAATGTATCATACAAAATGTCATGCTGATTCCATTCTAACTGGAAACAATGTGACCCTGACATTTCCTGATGTCCCATCTTCTCTTAACTAATGCCATATCCAAATTTATAATCTGCCTGAAAATAGAGTCCGCAGATTTTCTCTACGGATGCTCTGGTGGGGAGAATCCTCCTTGGGAATACGATTCTGGAGTTCTCTCAGGGCCAACTTGCTCAGCACCGAAAGGCTTGTCAGCACCCAGGCTGTGAGGCTTAGACCCCTGTGAGATAAAACAGGAGGTTGGTCATAGGGCAGCAAGGAAAAGATGAGAAGAATGTAAGAAGCACTAAAATAAATCAGAGCCATCATCTGTTTGCTGAAGTACCACGCTCTCTCAGTAACACCAATTAAGCAGAGAATAGTAAATAAGAAGAGCAAATTTAGCACCTGCTGGATGCTTGTTCTTTTCCTTTCTCCCCTGCCTGAGGCCCACTCCTCTATCCTGCCCTTCTGTGGCCTAGCCAGGCTTGGCAGTGCTGCCCTTCAGCCTCACTGCTCTGTCAGTCCTTATGCAGCTCCCTTCCCCACCTGGCAGCAGGTGTCCTTGTAAAAAGAAGTGCATTTCCTCAAGAGGCTTCCTCTCAAAATCCAAGTGACTTAAGCCAGACTTAGCGTGTTCGCTTTCACAAAGGCACTGTACATCTTGAAAGAGGGACTTGTTGATCCATAGCAATCAGTTTCTATCGCCAAAATTTGGACTAAGATACCTGGGAGCTCAAAAGATATCTCAGTGCTTTGGGAATCCCACTAGATGAGTTATCTTGATAAGTAGATACACTCAGCTCTAAAGGAAACCAAAGTGGTCAAAACCACATGTCTTTAGGCTTAGGACTTTGAAGTGCTCATTCTGATTTACCAAAATAACAGCCAATAAAATTGTCTGAACTCTCCTCTGCCATTTATTCCCCTGAGAAATAGGGATGCCTACCTTGGAGCCATTTCATCCAAACCATTAGACTAACATACGGAAAAAAATACTTGATAAACATCAGTCACCTTAGTTATGAAATTTATTATTTAATTCATATCACTCATGGCACTACCTCCTAGTAACCCCACCTTGTTAGAGAGTTCTGCTAAATCAGGCACTGACCAACCTTTTCTCCAAAAAGCCAGGTAATCATTTTGGATTTGTAGACTAGTCTCTGTTAAGTACAAAATTTCCCTGTCATAAGAGGAAAACAGCAATAAGCAATATCTAAAGAAATGAATGTGGATAAATTAGATCCACAGGCCATAGAATCCCAACCTCTGTTCTAAAGAAGAGTATACCAAGATGGGATATGTGCGTATGACAAATGGAAAAGAGGTAAGTTATATATCCATCCTTCTTTACACTTACCACTCATTTTCTACCTCTTAGAATAAGAAATATGCATCCCAGTACTTGTTTCCTTGACTTTTACCCTAGCTACCATAAAAATTATTTATTCAATCAATATCTTAAAAAGCAAGCTGGCAAAAGAACATATTCTTAATGAAATGCCATATTTTCTCCACCATACAGTCTCGTGTGTGCTGACATGTCCAGGAGAGGCCAAAATTCTATTGGTCGTTGGTGGCTCACAAACTCCCCTCCCATTCTCTCTCTGCATGAGTGATGCAATTCAGGGTTTTTGGGGAGGGAGAAAGAGTAGCTTGCTGTTCAGGGTTTCTTCTACAAAGAAGCTTCCATACCATGATTTTCCTATCTCAGAGTGCTTTAGTTCCCATTATCACAACCTCACCCAACCATTCCAAGTGCACCATTACTAGGAATTCTTACTCTCCACTTGGCTTCCTGCTATTTTCTTTCTTTGCCTGGCTTTGGACCTACCATTAAGTGTTTTAACTGAGTCATCCACTATCCTGGTTTTGGGAGCTACAAACCCTGCCTCAGGTCTCAGAGGACTCTCCGTATTTCAGAGAAGTTGCCTCTACTAATGTGAGCCTTCCTACCGAATGCCTACACCAGTGCAGCTCAGGAGAACCCAGACCATGACTCAGATGCCATGTCTTTGCACACCAGCCATCTTCCACCCACGTGCTGGAGGCTGTGTGTATTTGTGAGAGTGAGGAGACTGGGTCTAGACTTGTGGGAAGGGGAACTCTAACCAGCAGCGCAGAACCCACCAGGAAATGTTAAAAGGTAGAAAAATTCTAATCCATTTATTCCTAGCACACACCACCCAGGAATAAGTAATGTCAACTCACCATGCCTTCTTTGACAACCCTGAAATAAACACAGGTAAATGGCCATGTTGTCTATCATCCCTGGCCTTCACCATGCCCTCTTCCATCATTCCAAACACTAGTTCACAGCATAACTCTTGCCCATGCTCAGAAAAGAGCACGCAAACAGAAATAAATTTAAAACTTTCCCCAATCTCCACATGCATTGCAGTTTTTAATGATGCCACATTGCAGTATTACCTGTGAAGCAGTCAGACTCAGGTGGGTTAATGTTTTCTTTCCTTTGAAATTACCTCTCTACCTAAGAATCTAGAAGGAGTGAGTAGGTGCTGTACTGAAAGACAGTCCATACAGGTCAAGAAAAGTACACAGATGAAATTCTTCATTTAAGGCCTCTCTCTCCAGGGCTCTCTCTCCAACTTATGGAGTCATAGTTGTAAAATGTCCACTTTCCAAGCTGATACTTTTCAAGGGTTCACTGAAGACATCATTGAAATCCACTAGTGCTACACCAAGCTTTCCATCTATCATGTCGAACGCAGCTTTCAACTGATCTCCTCTTTCCTCTCAGTTCACCACTTTCAGTACCAGCTTTTAGAATACGTATCCAAAATGGGAGTTTGTCTCTTCTTTGAAAGGAATATGGCCTTGGGATCTTGTTCTTCAAAACAGGCTTAGAGGCTTGTTAAAAATACAGATTGTTGTACTCTACTTTTGGAAATACTGAATCACATCGAGTAGGCAATAAGTGAATTGCACGGACTAAGGGAAATCAGCCTTAAACTTTCCCCTCCCTGTCGTTCTATCCAGGGTGACAGGTCCCGAGAACGAGGTGCCTGTGGATAAGAAAAAGTAAGAGAGACAAGAAAAACAAGAGAGGAAAAAGTCTGGGATCAGAGAGCTTACAGCCTCTTGGACTGCAACTCTGATTACCAATCTCAGTCACCTTTTATTGAGCGAGAACCAAGGGCCTAGCTAGTACAAATGGACAGATACCAAACATTTTAGTAATTAAAACATTATCCTTCTCCAATTCTGCCTCACACACTGCTGGCAACAATTGCCTGGTGGGCCTCCTGCACCCAGCACTACATTTATAAGTTGCCCACCAGTTATCAATCCACTACAATCGTAGTCCCTACTTCCCATTAATTTTTACAATGCATGGCAAGACTAAAAAACAGGGATCTCCTGCAATTCAAATACACTCTTCTCTTCAGGTGAAACAATAAACAAATTGTCCCTTCATGTTTGCAACAATAAACAAATCATTGTGTGTCCTCAGTGCTTTCTAATCAAAGAATGTCCTTCTCCACACCTTCCTATCTAGTAATTCTCCTGTACGCTGAGCCTTTTGAACTACTCACTTAAGAAAGTTAGTCTCCAAAGATGGGCCCAACTCTTACTCGTATTGATATCAACTAGACTGCTCACTGCCTCTTCTGCTCTTATACATTTAGAAAAATCTGATAGAGCTGATTGTCATGGTAGCTACGTGTTTCTTCAGGTTTTCTCTGGAAGCACAGGTTGGAACTCTCAAGGGTACTGTTTGTTTCCAAATGTTGAAGGAAAGATTTTCCCTCCCATAAATCTAGACAACCGTCTACCCATCTCCATGACCGCACACAACCTCCAGTCTAACATGGGTGGAAGGTGGCTGATCTGATGAAATCTGAGTCATGATCGGGGTCCTCCCAAGTTGCATTCTGTTGGCATTCCGTGGGAAGGCTGACAATTCTAGAGACAATTTCACTGAAATACTGAGAGTCCTTTGAGAGCTAAGGCAGCATCTTTATCCCCAAGAACTAGATTTGTGAAGAACTCAGTAAATTTTGCTGAATGAATGAATGATGGCAAAAACATAACCAATGAATAAATGAACAAATGCATAAATAGTCCACTCAGTGAGTTGAATTCTTGAAGGCATTTGGGTTATGCACAGGCATGACTTTTGACAAAATAATTGAACACATATGAAGTTTGATCTGCTCCTGGGGAATGAGATTCTGGAAAAGTGTGACTATCAGAAATTGTATGAGTTACACTTTCTGTGATTATGCCCTCTGAGATTTCACTATTCACCCATGCCAATAAATAGTAACCTTTATAGTTTATTCATTATTCCTCCTGTTGAAATTATGACAAGACTCCAACATAACAGTTTCCCTCTATCATCATTTGAGACAAGTAGAACATTCTTTAGAAGCACATGAGCATGTGGGTGTGGGTCTGTGGTGCGTGGTGTGGGGCAGGATCATGGAAGCCTGGAAAAATTCATGCATTCAAGTTCAGAAAGCAAATTGCACCTATTTCAGCAAATTGGAAATTGATGGTGTGTAACACTGAAAGCCTAGCAGTGGCTATTATTTCCATCTAGGCTATTATTAACTGGTAATATTTTCTCTAGCAAACACTCTGTTACCCATAGCAACAGGATCATGTCATATGGACACCAGGGCTCCCTAACGTTGCCAGAAACATGGATAGTGCGTTAAATGGATTCTAGAAAATGCAACAAGGCTTGCCAAAACCAATATTTTTGAAATCCTAAACCCAATTTTTACTTGAGATAGAGGAAAGAAAAGAACTCAGATAAAGTAGAGACCGATGGGTTTTCATAATCCCCACTTCTGCGATTCTGTCTCAAGTGTGTTTCAAGCAAGCAGAGAAGTGTCTGTTTTCTTATCTAAGGCAAACACTCCACTGGGCCCTGGGTGAGCTCCCACGCCCCTCCTCAAGTACTCTTGTGCAGTGTCAAGGATTGCTTCTAAGTCCACTAGTTTCAGTCTCTTCTCTCATGACATCTCCCCATCAATATTTTTAACACTAATATTTGTACTGGTGTGCAGCGTTCAGGTAAGTACCCAAATCGTAACAATTTGGAATGGTGTCAGGAAGCAACTTCAAAGTGAGTACACCTACACAATTTAATCATATGGTTAAACAAAATGCTTAGACAATATTCTAGGACCATAAGTTAATTTTTTGTGTGTGAAATTTATATAAATGGACTCTCTGTTTTGTAATTAATGCCTAGTTTTATCTACTCTGATCTATCAGAAGAATTATCCATCGTTTGCAGGCAACAGGGCTCCATTGACTTCATGGCAATGTTAGTTTCCTAAGGCTTCTATCACAAAGTACCCCAAAGTTAGTGCCTTAAACAAAAACAGTGTATTTTCTCACAGTGCTAGAAGCCAGATATCAGAGACAAAAGCATTGGCAAGATTGATTCTTGGAGGAGAACTTGTTGCATGGCTCTTTCCTAGCTTCTAGTGGAGTTTAAGCACATCATCCGATTGAATTTATCCATTTCTCATCTGTTTTTTGCCTTCATGTCCATGTGACTATCTAAGGCATGTGTTCTCCCTGTGTGCATCTTTTTCTCACATGCCATTTTTTTATCAGGTTAACTGGTCACTTTGGTTTAGCAGCCCTCCTCCACTGTGCTATTAAATCCTTTTCACTAAGTTGATTTACATTTCCAGTTCCCTTATTTCCAAATAAAGCCACTTCTCCAATAGGGAGTTAGGATATATGAATTCACTGGTAAACACAATCCACTCACAACAAGTGCTATATAGTGTCTTACTGTACAAATAGCTTACAAGTTACTAATTAATCTTGCTGTTTCTATTATTTCATTGTTCCCCAAAAGAGTAAAAAGCATGAAGTTTGTATTTGGTGTTGCTCATTTCCCTATTCCAGGCTTTCATAGATAGATGATAGATAGATAGATAGATAGATAGATAGATAGATAGATAGATAGATAGATAATAGATAGAGTGAGTGAGTGAGTAGCGGAGTGACAACTGGTGGTCAACATGTATGATGCTGGGTGTGGGAGGCCCACCTGAGGATTGCTGCCAACAACATAAGAGGCAGAACTAGAGAAGAAGAGAGGCTGTTGGGAGCTAGGAGAAGCTGTTAGAAGCTGTTTAGAAGCTGTTAGGGAACTGTTGGTTCTTTTGGAGGAGATTGTCATGCTGGCTTTCCTAATGAACTTGGCTTTCTCTTTGTCGAAGCAGCTCAGGACCTTACTGTCATGGAGAATGGCTTCATTTCACTTTGGGGGAGCTCTGGTCCTAACTTTGAGCATTGCTTCCTGGCTCCAGAGGGGAAGATGGTGAACTTCCCAATCTCCATGAGAACCTTATTACTTTGGCTTTTCTGATGGGAACTCGGCTGTTATCATCATCAGAGGAACTCAGGGCCTCATTGCTATTGAGGATGGCTGTGGTACTTTTTAGGGGAGCTCTGGTTCTCACTTTGAGTATTACTTCCTGGATCCAGTGCAGATCCCTCAACCTGTTAGTACAGACCCTTCATCTTGCTGGGACAGACTTTCTAGCTTCCACCACTGGCCTTTGGGTCTTTCCAGCCCAGATCTGTGAAATAGGCCTGCATGAGACAGTGTTGTGGGCCCTTGGCCTCCAGTTCGACTCATGGGAGGCATTGTTATGGGCTCTAGGTCTTCTGCCAGACTTAGGCAGGACATTAACATGAGATCCAGGCCTTGGCTGGATTCTTTGGTCTTTAGCATGTGGACAGATTTCCTGTACACTTTTTGTATATGACTCTTTGGGTGACCAGTATCAATAATCTTATAATTAAGTGTCCTACATTGATTCCCCCTGCAAAACCCCAATAGGTAGATGATAGATAGATAGATGATAGATAGATGGACAGCTATAGATAGATAGATATTCTTCCATCCTCAATGACTTTGTCTCTGACATATTCCATCTTCATTAAGATCCATAATAATTAATAACCATATGACACTCACTGACTTGATCTTTGGAAGCAGCTCTCATCCAAGCTTCCCTTTGGAGATTCCAGAAGTGCAACAAACCATTAAGCATAATTGGATGAATCTCTAAAATTTAGCTCCAGGACACAGGAAATATTTGGGAAAAGCTTGTTTTGAGAGTTTTTCTCAAATCAAACAGGATATCCTGAGGAAGACTTGCATTAGCTACACTGACCCAGATATGAAACATGTATAAGATAGCACGGAATAAAATGGCAAAACATGTCTCAAATATCACTACAATAATTTTA